CCATTGTTTTTTAATGAGCACTTTATAACAGGATTGATCTTTGACATAGTTTCCATAGAAATATTCCTGGATGCATCCAAAGGTGACTTATCCTAAATTTCTGTATGACTTGTAACTCAATACTTCTTCTTAGGCCCTTTTTGCTCTTGGAGGAGCTTAGTCCATAAAACATTACTACTCCATTGAAATCACTTCTGGGATCTCAATTTCCTCTCTTCCTTTTCCCCACTGTGGATTCCAAGTCAAGGCTTGGTGAGTGATGCTGGATGTTGATTTCTTAACCAACTTCACTTCCTCTTCGTCTAATCACTTTGATTCACTTTGATCACTTCCTTCCAAGATCTGCTTTGTAACAAGCAAACCTTTCCCATCATCATTCATAATTAATACTACCATCCTATGTTAATTATCATTTTTATTCCTTAATGACTTGTGTTCATTTGTGAATCTAATTTAAAGAATTGCAATTTGTATCTTTTCAATGGAACCATTTTATACAAATTCTTCTCAAGCTTTCTGCACAGGATTCAAATTTTCTGCCACCAATTTAAGGTTAGAGTTTAACACCAAAATCAAGGCTGGGCCATTTTATTACATTTGGCAAAGTTGGATTTAGTCCAAAAACTGGTCAGAGGTGAAAACACTAAAATTATGTAAAGAATTTCTTGCCAATGCAATTCAAGACCATCCTATCATCAGGCCACACTTGTCTTCTTTTTTTTTTTTTTTCAACAATTCTTTTCATGCTCCATACAAGTACACTACCAATTTTCCAGCATCCTTGGTTCCAGAATCATGTCAAATTATCCCTTTTGCCAGGTCAATGTAAGTCACATAATTACAATTTGCCAAACATGAACAAACATGTCTGCAATAAAACGTAGTGTCAAAAGGATGTTTTTTCCCGTGACAGTTTTTTTTTTTAACTACCTTCAAAGCTAAACATATGATGAAAGTGAATTTATACCAAATAACAAGAAATATAACAAAAATATTAATCACTATTTATTTATTAGATTGTTTATTTACAAAAATAATTTTATATTTAGAACATTCTAAAATCTAAAACAATTAGAACTGATGCGGTGCAATATTTATCATTTACCAATTTATAAAGAAATAAATGTTTTTTTTAATAAACATTTACTAAATTATTAAAATATGTGAACCAACTATAAGGAAATCTTTATTTACCATTTTATAAAGTTTGAATCGATTAGCAATTAGTTGATGTTTTGTCAATCTTTACAATAATTAATATAATAGATAAATAGTAAATTTGTTCTCAAGAAAAAATAAAATATATAAATTCACTTTCATACATTTAGGCTTTATTCCAATTCTAATCATCACTTCTTAAAATTATAAACATTACTGAAGTGTGAAGGTATTTAAAAAAAGCAATGTTATGGGAAAACCCCCCTCCTTTTGACACTGTTCTTTTGTAGGCACATTTGTCCATGTTTGCCAACAATTCAATAATACATGCTCCATACAAGTCCACTACCACTTTTCTAGCAACCTTGGTTCCAGAACCACATTGGATTATCTCTTTTGCCAGATCAGTGAAAATCACATAACAATTCAATAATACAATAATGACATACTAATTATACATCTCTTTTATCTCTACGGTACTGTTGAATATTAGAAAATTGTATTAAAGTAAAAGTTAATGGAAAGTTGATGATGCACCTGTATGTAGTAATTCTGGAGAATCAATTTATTACTTAATAATAATAAAACAATAATACCCCTTTTTATGTGCAGAAGAATCTTATATTAATTCTATGGGTACACCACCAGATCTTCTGAAACCATTCATTTCAGAACCATTATCTGTTTTACCAGATCAGTGGAAGTCAAAAAATGACAATTCATTAATAAGCCTGTGACTTAAAAATTATGCATCTTTCATATGTCTACAGCATCAATGCATGTCCAATATTCACTGCCATATTGGGGGTCTGATATTACATAAATTTTCCTGTTTCTTTATACTTCACTTAACTTTTGGAAGGTATATTTTGCACTTCTAATGCACCTACAGATTTTGGTCTTTCATTTTCCATCCTTGACCAAAACATTTCTTAGATATTTAAATATTTGTACTTGCCTGAGATTGATGTATCCAGTTTGTAGATAATATTGTATTTGTAAAAAGATAGCTGGCTTGACGATCTCTCATTGAAAAGGGTGAAACTTCAGTAGCATAGGTACTGTTTTTGTATTTTTACACCCACACACATATTTTGTTGGATTGATGTCAGTTTGTGACCCTGGGTTTTACACTATTTGATTGTCAGACAAACTCCATAATCATAATTATGCTCCAATTCATCAGACCTACAAATTCAAATGAATTGGAACAAGATCATGATTCCAATGTAATAAATTATAACCATGGAATATTAGTGTTTGAGCCTTTTATATATATATATATATATATATATATATATATATATATATATATAGCAAGAGAGAGATATAGATATATAGATAGATATATATATATATATATATATATATATATATATATATATATATATATATATTATAAATTAATTGGTTTAAAAATATGTTTTTTTTTGCTACACAGTTCTAACCATGTTTCAAAAATGGAAGCTAAAAGCCCCGAATTTAATTTTGTAATTAAATTAAAGACATTAGTTCCATTTCATCCTCAAGCGAATTTTGGAGTAACTTTTAAAATTACTGGATTTTAAAGACACAGCTAAAATCATAATTCACGTTTCCAAGGTTACAGATAAAGCTACTTTCACTAGACAAGGGGTGTCTGTATTTTGATGTATCAGTTATTAGTTACGTTTTGGTAGGGATGTATTTTTCAATGAAATTTAACATATATATATATATTTTTCAATGAAATCTAATATATAATATATATATATATTCCAGAATAGATGGATGATTATGCTGTTACACCTGGTATATATCTATTTTAAGAGGAGTAGATGGATTCACCTATCATCAGGTTCACACTCCTCTCTAGTCTTTTGAACAGGTGTGGAGGTTTATCCCTTGTTTTCTGTTTAGGATTGGGTTTCTGGTTCCTTCTAAAGTCTTCTCATTCTCTTTCACTCCCAGTAGCCCTTTGCATCTTAGTGGCATTATCACCTTGCTTGGGGTGAATTGATAAAAAAAAAGGCTGTGTCTTGCAGGAAGATACTGATGTCCCATATCCCAAATGTCTTAATGTTTGAAATGCTGGACGCAGAAGGAGATAGAAAGGCATTTGGCAATCAGCACTGATACAGAATTGACTTCTGTGACTCTTCTGATTTCTTTCTCCACTATTGCTACAATTTCTGACATTAACTGAATTTTGTGTCTGGATTCAAGAAAAATGATAACCAATATGGCAACCATGAAAAAAAATTCTATGCAGATAGATATTTTCTCACTGTGGATACCATGTATTTTATAAGCACAAGATTGTAGTCAGATGATCAGTAGCATGATCATTTGAAACAAATGCAACACATTTAACTTTTTCTTTACAAAATAAATTAATTTGAATGTCCGAATTGTAAAGCCAAAAAATTGTGTCAGCCACAAGTTGCAGGAATATTAATATGCTTGTAAATTCTATCACAGTCATGGCTGATTAGATCTATATATTGTTGAAGTAATTTTAGATCTAGACTTATAATGCATCCTTGCAGCATTTGTACAATGTTGCTGCTTTCCTCAGCAACTTGCACCTTCTGGTTGTATTCATTAACCATAAAAGGTGTTTCAGGTGTCAATTTTCATTTTCTACAGAATGAAGGTCGGTTACTCTGAACCAGGAGAGGAAATGAATTGATTTTTTATCACTACAAAAAGTAAAATAAAATTATTCCTTACGATGTATATTTGAGTAAGAATTTGTTGGGTGATTTAAGAACTGGTACTGTATTTTCTGAATTGAAAAGCAGGAAGAAAGGGATTGTCAGTGGTCAGGAGTTAATGAAAAGCATTACTGATAGATAAGGGCTATTATTTATATGTATAATGTAACTTGATTACTAATGATTTACTATAGGAAAGAACTGAAAATCAAGAAGAAAGGGATTGTCAGTGGTCAGGAATTCATGCAAACATTACATTATATAGTTGTAGAGTGGATAAATGAAATGGACAAATATAAGTAGATGTGTACGTGTGTGTTGGTGTGCATATGCAGGCAAACAAATAGTCATCAAATTTATGCATGAGGTGTAAACATAATAGTGCTCAATGCAGTTATGCAGAGCAAATATATTTATTAATTAGTACATATACATGTACCTACATTTTTGCCGTGCAAATATAGTTTTGCTTGGTGGTGTTGCACACCAAAACATAGGTTTATGTATATGTACTAATTAATATATATATTCTTAGGTTTTAAATATTATTTTTATTTCCTGGCAAAATATTTATTTATTTAACAGGACCAGCAAAATAACCTATTTGTTCATTTTTTTTTTTTTTTTTTTTTTTTTTTTACATTTTTCCTCGCTTTTTTTTTTCTCTATGTGAAACTTTTCCAGATCTCGTCTAATACTTGAATTTGTTTATTTATAAATGTTACTTATTTCAAAGAAAGTGGAGACTATGATTATTTGAACCATTGTCTATATCTCTAAGCATTCAATCTGAGCACTCTTCCTTTATAAACATTACAAGGCTTCTTTTAAGTAGGTGATCATCTCTGTCCACAGTTTCCTGTCTGTTGTAGCTCTTAGTAAATTTGTTCTTTTTTCTATCTCTCCTAATCACTGTTCTTCCAACCATTTACGCAAACTCATTAGGTAGGTTATGTGCTGCTTTCCTCCTTGACTTCAATCTGTCCTGTGAGTATAAAATTTTCTTAGCCCTCTTTCCTCATTATGTGTCTTAGATATTTAACTGCCTCTTTCTGATGCTAAGTATAACTCTTTGTTGTTGCTCACAGGATTCATGGAGTTCATTGTATTCTCAGTATCCTTCTGTAGATGTGGGTAGTGTAGTCATTATTGATGCAGAAACAGTAAGGGAGGAAGGCTTGAAGGAATAAGGGAGAGGAAATGTCTAGGTGTGAAAAGAAAGCTTGAAGGGGAAAGGAAGAGGGAAGCTCCAGGTGTATGGGAGAGGAGAGCTTGAAGGTGTAAGGGAGAGGAGAGCTTGAAAGTGTAAGGGAGAGGAGAGCTTGAAGGTGTAAGAGAGAGGAAAGCTTGAAGGCATAAGGGAGAGGAAATGTCTAGGTGTGAAAGGAAAGGTTGAAGGTGTAAGGGAGAGGGAAGCTCCAAGTGTAAGGGAGAGGAAAGCTTGAAGGTGTAAGGGAGAGGAAAGCGGGAAGTCATAAGGGAGAGGAAATGTCTAGGTGTGAAAGGAAAAGTTGAAGGTGTAAGGGAGAGGAAAGCTTGAAGGTGTAAGGGAGAGGGAAGCTCCAAGCATAAGGGAGAGGAAAGCTTGAAGGTGTAAGTGAGAGGAGAGCTTGAAGGTGTAAGGGAGAGGAAAGCGGGAAGGCATAAGGGAGAGGAAATGTCTAGGTGTGAAAGGAAAGGTTGAAGGTGTAAGGGAGAGGAGAGCCTGAAGGTGTAAGGGTGAGGAGAGCTTGAAGTTGTCAGGGAGAGGAAAGATGCATTAAGAATGAGAATAGGAATGATAAGGAAAAAATAAGTGACTGAAAATGGGAGGAAAAAGGAAAAGAAAGAGAATGAAGATGGAAAGAAAACAAGATAAAGAATAGAAGAAAGCTAATGAAGAGATGAAGGTGAGAGGAAAAGGTAAGTGGAAATAACATTGTGAAGAAGAGAACAGAGACAATGAATCTAATTCCAAACAACTTTGTTTCTGTACACTTTTGCACTCATGCCTTCTCTCTAGTTATAGGCTAAATAGCATGATAGACTGGACTCTATAGCTTTAGTGATAACCAGCCTAGGAGAAGGACAACTCTGAATTGAAAACCATGAAAAAGCAATGGAAAATAATTCAAGAAGTCATGGCAATTCCCAGATAACCAAAAAGGTATGTGAAAAGCCATAATTGTCTGTATCTGTCAGAGAACAGAATATTTTTTTAAAAAAGTAAATAAATAAAAACAGAAAAGTTATTTATTTGTTTACTTATTTGCAAAGGAGTGAGAAAAAAAATGCTTTTATTCACTTAATGCCCAAGAAATAACATAATCTTTGACAGAGCAAATTCAACAATAATCCTTTGTTTTCTGCCTGCCACCATCATGGCTGATGCTAAACTCCAGGAGAGCAACGTCCTATACATTTTTGGCCTCACATTTTCCACAGACATGAAATGAAGCGGTTATGTCAAATCAATTCCTATGTCTACTGTAAGTAATATTGGTTCACTGTCCTGTACCAGAAAATTTATCTTCTCAGAATCCATATTGCACATTTATAAATCTAACCATTCCCCCATGCATTGAATACTGCTGCCATATCTGGTCTGGTGCTCCTGCTCAGCATCTTGAGATTCTTGACAAAATCCAAAGAAGGATCTGTAAAGTAATCAATCCTGATCAGGCATCTAGACTTCCATTGCTTCTCACTGACATGAAGTGGCTTCCCTCTGTCTTTTCTACAAATATTTTGGTGGCAACTGTTGTGATAAGCTACAAATTTTCAAAAATTTAAAGGCAACATCAATTGCCATCTTCTGTCTTCTATAACCCTGTTTTTGTCCTATCCTCAATCCTCACCATTCTCAGTCTTCTTATTTTTGTTTCCTTTCATACTCTGTACCCCCCGCACTTGCATTTTAGCCACATTATCACTCTGTTTGGCATGAAATGATTGAAAATAAAATAAGTACTTTCTCTTGAAGGCTGAAAGAAATCATTGTGATTGACTAAAGTTGAATAATTCACTTCTAATTTTTCTGCAAGGTAACACATTGCTTATGTTGCCTCTTCTTTCAAAGTTTCCTCCACTTCATCCATTTTCCAATTCTGATCTCATCCAGGGCATCTTTTATCCTTGAGCTCAAAATCTCTCTTTTAGAATGTAGCAAGTCATTCCTTACATGTGCTTACAACAGCAGCAGTAAGAAAAAAAAAGAAACTTCAGTAAATACAGACAAGCAGTAGCAGTGTCAGCAACAAGCAGAGAGATTTAAGGCTCCAAGTTCTATACTCAGGATTGTCCTGTTGGACAATAACTTAGTGCAGGTTTTTCAAACTGTTCCGACCATTCAGTGGGTTGAGATAAATAAAATAGGTTGTGACAAAAAGAAAGAAAAAAAATACCCAAGTGAGAATAAAGTGCTCTCTCTCTTGATATATATATATATATATATATATATATATATATATATATATATATATATATATATATATATATATATATATATATATATATATCATGTATAAAATTTATACCAAGAGAGGATATGTCCCATTTCTATCTCTTTCATATTTAGCTAAGTGAGTCTCTCTATATCTATATATCTGTTTACCCAGTCTCTTCATATCTATCTATCTATCCCAGTCTCTTCATATCTATCTATCTA